AGAAGTAAGTTTCCACACAGTTCTCTAGTAGCGTTCCATTATGGAGCAAAGACTGATGGTGCCAGAAAGGAAAAGCAGAAAATCGAAAAAGGCAAGAAAGAAGGGATCGAAAATAAGAATGAGGGAAAAACCAGAGGCTCCTTCATCAACAACAACAACAAAACAGACCTCGAAGCCAACGAAGCTGATATTTTCGACAGCCTGTGCATCCTCGATCACCGACAGTTCCCGCTTTCACGGATCCCCGATTCGGCGACAGTGCTGCATCTAAATCACGTCCCCACAAGCATGACAAATTCCCAATTTCTATCGTTCAAGATCTGTAGCCAAATACCTAAAAACACAAAAATACGCTCACCGTAATAAGTAAAAAATTAAATATGAAAAAATGTCCAAACACGAATACCTATAATGAACCCCCTCGCCCCGACGCGTATTTCTGGAGCATAACCTTTAGCCAAGAATTCAGACTCCATTTATGTGTCGTGACTCTCCCCACACGGATCAAAATTAAAACCTAGGTTAGAACGCACCGTAGGGCCCGTGCGATCATGCGTTTTTGCACCGGACTTAAATTACTCAGGTCATTAACTGTAAGAATGGCTGTTGCTTTACACCTACCTTTTGCAGTCACTAGCATAAATCACCATAAATTTTGCATAAAGTAAATGTACAATTTCCATTTAACGGCTGCTATTCTAGTTGTTCAGTGAGAAATTTTTTCGCCAAAACTTATAAGTGCCCGTACGTAAAAACCACGCATACTTTAAGGCTAGACTTGAAATACTTAAGTTGTACTTGGACAGGGAACACTACCCTAAAATTTCAGCTTTCTAGCTTTTCTGGTTCCGGAGTTAGTAATTTTACCGCAGAAATTTTCATACGCCTTAAGTGAGTACCACGCATAGCTGGGGGCTGAGTTTGGAATATTTGAGTTATACTTGAACAGGGAACATTATTCCAAAATTCCAGTCTTCCAGCTTTTCTAGCTACCGAGTTAGCAATTTTCCTGTCAAAACTTCCACATACCCATACATGGGCACTCCACGTGCCTGGGAAGCTAAATTTGTTATTATGCGTTTTGTGCTGTGTAACAGCAGTACAAAACGCATATTGTTACGGGGTTGTCT